AGTCCAAGTTTAAGATAACAAAGTGTCTGAGATATTGTTTTTTATCGTTTCGTTTCTCACTATGTTGTCAGAGCACATGGAGAAGATTAGCAGCTGGTTCTGTGGAGGTGAGTGGTGTTTAAAGGTCTTTAAAGGTACCCTTTAGCTTCTTTGAAGATTCATCTCCTCAGGATACTTAAAGAGTGCATGGCTGCATTAACCGCCTTCTGCTGGGAAAACTTTATCCCTCATTTTTCTGCCAAAGAAATTAGAAGAGGTGTCTAAGGGAACATAATGGTGCTGTTACCCTTCTTTCTGCTCTAGGCAGTCGTTGCTGTCCGCCAGAGGTTCAGTCTAGCCTGCTAGTGACAAACTTGGGAAAGGAACAAATACTGTGTGAATCACAGAAGGCTACAGTTTTACTCCAAGATAAAACAGTGACAGGATATTGGTGCATGAATAGGTCCTACAGATATCCATTTGACATGTGCTTCTTAGCACAGTTTTGTTGTGTATTGATTAGTTTTCTCCCAGGCATGGTCTGGGCACAGTTCAGGAGAAGAACATGTACCATGACCAGAAGCAGTTTGGATATTTCCACTGTTTTTGGGAAAGGGATTTAACGTTGGGGACAGGGGGTGTTCTGTTCCACTTGGCCTTAGAGCCAAAGATTCACTTGCCTGAATTATTTAGTAACACAGAGGAAGCCAAATTGACTCATGACAAACAAGCCAATAACTGGGTCTGAGGGGTCATCCTGAGGAACACCTTATGGGGGAGGTAATTCTTGTATCAATTGTAGAGATGCCACTCATCTGCAAATATTATTTTATTTTCTCTTTTAAAAGCAGTGATGTTTTAAAGGATTTGTTTGCAGGCAGATCAATCCAATTTTCCTTGTTGTGGTTGATGTCATGTCTGTGATTGTGGGAACTCAGCAGCACTTGCAGGTACACTGCAAGAGATTACCATGCTGCCAGTAGTTTTCATGGAGCATTGCTGTACCAGAAATGGTTGATTACACAGGAGAAAGAAGTGCAGAGCAGTTGTTCAGTGTTTAGATAATGCTAGACAGAACACAATCCTGATTGCCTCAAAATACTGCCCCTGAAAATATTACAGCTTCCTCCTATGGTAATTTTTTTGGTGATTTTTATAAGCCCAAGATTTTTTAGATGCATCTAGTATTTTGTCCATTTGAAAAGAGATGACACTTCATCTTTCACTGAGATACTTCAGGCTCATTCTCATACCAAATCTATTTTCTTTCCTGCTATATGAACCTGTAACATAGGTTATGCAATTAGGAGGAAAGTGTTTGCAGAAACAATAAGGAAAACCTGATAAATGAAATCTACTATACACAGTCGTGCTGATGGTATTCCAATAAACACAAACATATTTTTGTGTGCCCAGTTTTAAAGATAAAGAGTAAAATAATTTATGGCCAAAGCTGGTTTTCCTTCCTTGTGGCATTTATATATATATAATACTGAGCACACCAAAATTATGTTAAGGGAGCATTGCTGTCATAAAGTAGAGTGCTAAAAAGGCAATGTTATAGTTAGTGTTGTAGTTATAATATTATAGTTTACAGGCTTTTTGTTCAGTAACTGGGTCCCTCTGTGAATGTGCTGTATACAGTCTTTATGCAATTAGGAGCACTTTTTAGGGTGAATGTTTGGTTTTAGGAAGGGAATTTGCTTTCAAGACAAATGCAGTGAGATTTATATCACATCTGTTATTATCTAAGTGGAGCTTTGTCTTGCAAAGGAGATTTGTCTTACAGAGTGCACAGTTTGGGCAGCCTTCAATTTAGGACTGGATGCAAAATACTTTTCCAATTGTTGCCCTGTAATTTTTTTCTGGTTTTCTTTTTTTTTCTTTTTTTCTCTGTATGCTATTTAAACCTTGCTTGGAAGACAAAATTGGTAATTTCCTTGTGGGAATTGTTATTCTGCTCTTTCATTGTAGTTTCTAAGTGCCTCAGAAATGTTAATGTATCGTTAGCATTTCTGAGGAGGTGATGTGATATATCCACTTTATAAAGCAGAAGTGAAGGCTGGTGGTTGAAACACAGGTCTGAGAGTGTTTGCTAATTTGGGGGCTGCACTCAATGACCTGATTTCTTGGACTAATGCATTCACAGGATCAAGGCTTTCAGCTTTCTCTGTTGTTGATTTCAGTGAGCATTCAGGAGCACTGCAATTTGGGTCTCAGGGTTTGAAATGAAGACTGAAGATATAAGGAATACTCATTTAGTGCCCAGCTGAGTCAAGATTTAGTAAATGGCTGTCCTAGCAGCACAGAAGATCTGTGAAGCAGAGGGTAGCATACAGGACTTTCTGACAGGATGATGCTCATTTCCAATTGTCTAGAGGCTCTTTCTTCTGATTCTACTGTGCCTTTGAATATCTGTAACGAATGACAGAGTGCTCCACTGAGTGATGTTCTTTCTAGCTGCCCTTGTGATCTTCAGGAAACATACCTGACAAGTTAGAAAACAGATTATTTATTTAAAGAGGCTATTGAGAGAAAACAGTCCAAGATGTTCCAACTCTGACAGCCTATCCAAGGTTTTCCTTGTTATCGTACAAAACAGAATAGTCTATACATGCATTTTAAAAGTGCCCTTATTTTGTTTTACAGTAGTCATCTGATGACAGTAACTAAGTCAATATCTTCCTTCAGCTTAATACGTACTTTTCTACTTGAAAGCCGCTCATCTTTGCTCAAAACTGGTTTGTAGTGTTGTCCCAGTGATGTTAGTTTACTATACTGGACGGTGTTGCTGAGAATGTAAAACTATCCCATTAGCCTGTTTGCAATATAAAATAGGCTTCTGCATTTTACAAGCTTATGCAGTGTAGTAAGAATTTGGCAAGTGTAAAGGAAAAAGGTGTTAAGGAGAGCTGGCAGCTCCTTAAAGAAATGATATTAAGTGCAAACTCTTCCAATAAGGAAGAAAGTTAAGGCAGTGCAGTGGAAGACCAGCATAGCTAAACTGCCAGTTCTTCATGGCTCCTGAAGAGAAGTTGTTTTTTTACAGATTGGAAAGTAGGTCAGATTTCCAAGAAAAAGGATAAAAAAAATAGCATATAGCGGCAATAAAATCAGAAATAGTGAGGCACAAAATGATACTGAAGTATCCAGGTGTGTAAAAGGTTGTAAGAATTCATTTTCATACTACATGCACTGTAGTAATGAAAGAAGGACTGAAAGGAAAGGTCAGAGGATAAAAGGGATCAACAGATGGCATTGGGATGGCCAAAATCATTGGTGTGTTTGGGTGTCTGCCAGTAAAATGGATACAGTTCTTCTGATAACATGGGGAACTGTTTGCTGCTGCAGTATCCAGAAGATCTCACAAGCACAAATTAATGTCTCTGTACCTCCTGGTAACCAGAGAAGTGTAGACCTTCTGCCCACATCCACCAATCTTAGAGTGTTTTTTCTGGAGGACATTGCTGTACAATGCCTGAAACGCGTTTTGGAACAATCCACTGTTGGAAAGGAAGGGAGGAGCACAGGGTGTCTTCTTTGAAGTATTGTTCTGAAATTTTTAAAATTATGGATTTATTGGCACTGAGTATGCTAACAATTTATGTAGAAAGCTGGTAAGGATGAAAAAGGCTATGAAAGAAAGGGCTAAAACTCGAGGTGGTGTTATTCAGTTGCACAAATAATCTTGAAGGGAATGGTCATAGTTCAAAGAGACAGGTTCTACATATGGCTCTGGGGAGAAACCAGCTTTAAGGAGAAAGGCCGGGGAATAATTTCCTAGGGAGTGATTGTTCAGAAAGAAGTCTGAAAGTTGAAGGGAACCACAAACCAGTTCATAAGTACAGTGTAATATTCCAGGGTGAATAGAGCTTGCAGAATGTCCTGGGGCAGGGGGGAATCCTTTCTTGCCTGGAGTACCTTGTTGGGTCAGAGGGACTGTACCATAAGAAGTAAATCAGCAAGACTATGCAGAGGAACAGTACCAACACTGAGAAGACAGTCCTAGGTAGCATAACTGATAAGTGTGTATTGAGTGAAATGGTGTTATGTGGAGTAGATGACTGCAATATGCCTGGACAGCACAAAGACCCAAGTTTCAGCAAGAATGAGAGAGGTTGTGATACCACAGTAAAAGTAGTGCAGCACTCAAAGAGTTTGAGTGGGGAGGTTATTGAATCTCTGTTATTGGAGATCTTCAGGAACAATTAGGAAACATCTTCTGACATAGTATAAGATACAGTATTTTGTGCTGTAAGGCTGGACATCTTCTGATTCTTCTTCCAGTCAGAAGTGTGTTTTCTGATGTGCTTTCTCTTTTGTCTTTTATATCCTTTTACTCCTTGGTGAATACCACTGTTTTCTAGACAAGAATTTCTTAGATGGCAGGGAAGATTTAGTACATTCACAGTAGTCATTTTGGTACAGAACTTCATGGAATAGTGCTTTAAGCTACTATATTTGACTAACTGCTGCAGCTGTAGGAGTCACAGGCCATGACTTCTTAGTGAGTGTGTTCCTTATAAACAGAGTAAGGACTGGGACTTGCTTTATAATCAACATATTTTCTGAAGACTTTTAAAATGCATGTAACAGTCTGACATACCAGCTGTCACCAGAAATTGTGTCCCCCACCAACACCAGCATGCTGTGCGTTGGCACTCATGTCACACGGAGAGGGAGTGTTGACAAGTCCTCTTGCCAGTCACCTTAGAAAGATAGGGAAGAAGCCAGGGTTCAGTGAAGGCGATCTCAGGAGAACGCCAGGAACATCAGAACCAGAGCAGTCTGAGAGAGGAGTTGGTCCAGGACTTTTGAAGCTCAAGAAAAAATGAGTGCAGCAAAAGAGAAATTTTCTCCAGCCTCATCCGTGTTTAGCTTGGTGTTTGGGACTGATTTGAACCTCTCTTCGTGGGACAGCAGTGCAATGCCATTCCTGAGCAGTCTTCCCAAGTTCCAGAGTCTTGAGTAGCTATAGTTTCATTTGTGTTAAAATTGAATTATGTTTTCTTTCAACTTAGAAGCCGAACTTGATATCCAAGCCAATGCTTGATAGCATCCTTTGTCTTCGTGATGACAGATGGAAGTACGTGCGGAGCCTTCTGACCCCAGCCTTCAGCGATACCAAACTGAAAGAGGTAAGGTGTAGACATTGCTGCTTTCATAATTTAGAAGACTTGTGCAGACATCTGCTTTATGTAGGTCCATATTAAGGATAGGTAAAACCTGCTACTTTGTGCCACTTTATTTAGACCTGAAGAGCACATGCTGCAGAGCTTCCATATGGCATGGTTCAGATCATAGACTAGTGAAAATCCAAATAACTCATCTGAGGATATGATTCTTTGTCTTCTTCTGTTTAAGTCAGTTTGTCCAGGAAGGTGTAGCATACTCAAGAAGGACCCTGACCCCTTCCTCTCCTTTGCCCTATTAGGAGTAAGCTTAACTCCGGGAAAGGTTATTGCTCCCAGTTGGAACATAAGCTTTTCTTGATGTGCAGAGTCAGCAACTCTCATGTTAACACAGGAACTGCTGTCAGTCTATTTTCATTTCTCCATCTCCTTCCCTTTCCCTCCTTTTATTCTTTAATCCTTTCATATAATAAAATAAGTCACTGGAACAGAATGTCATTGCCAGATAAATACCTCTGACTGAAAATAAATGTCTCTGTGCTGACCTGCTGCTAATTTCCTATAAATGTATCAGCATTTGCTCAGCCATGGGAACCCATTACCCAGTAACAAAGTCCTGTTCCAGTGATACGATATCTCTTAATTAAATGTATATAGATGATTGACTGGCTAAAGTCTTCTTTCAAGGAGAACTACAAAAAACAACCCCCCAACAAAAAAAACAAAAACAAAAAAAAATCACCACTTCCTTTTTATGTTTTATTCTGAAAGGGAATCATGCCTCACTCTGGTGCCCAGTCCTGGGTTGTAAAATTTTCCACTGGGCAGACGCTTGTGTTGTTTTGACATGCCGCTGTCGAAATCCACAGTAACATCTAAATGTGTCTGGCTCTCCCGGCTCCATAGACAGCGGTCGCCTAGCAACGCCGGCTGTCACCTCCTTATTATGGTAAATTCTAATTGGCCGCGAGCCTGGCGGAGATGCTGATTAATCACGACTGACAATGCCATTGGTTATGCGCCCTGACATTTGCTCTGTCACCAACTCCATCACGAAATTTCAGCAAGGCAAGGGTGTTTAAATATGCAAGCGATTAGTTGCACATGGCGTGGTGGGGAGAGGAGAGTTTTGCATTTTGCTGGCGGAAATTAATCCTGCCTTACTGCGGGTCATCGGCTCTTTGCTCGTGGACTAACAAAAGATAACGCTGCACTCCCCTCAATTTGTGGAGAGCAACCTCTGCCGGCACCTGCCAGGCAGGCTTGGCTGAGGAGCACGGTGAGGGCAGGAGAGTGGAGCCTCAGGGATCCTGCTTTGGGGCTGGGCATGCACGGCTTTGCAGGGTCTGGCTGATCCAACTGGGCTGGGAGGAGAAGTCGTGGCACTCCCTTTGCACGGCTTGTTGGTGGAGGTGGACTGCAGGAATAATGGCTAACAAAAGATAACACTGCACTCCCCTCAATTTGTGGAGAGCAACCTCTGCCGGCACCTGCCAGGCAGGCTTGGCTGAGGAGCACGGTGAGGGTAGGAGAGTGGAGCCTCAGGGATCCTGCTTTGGGGCTGGGCATGCACGGCTTTGCAGGGTCTGGCTGATCCAACTGGGCTGGGAGGAGAAGTCGTGGCGCTCCGTTTGGTGGAGGTGGACTGCAGGAATAATGGTAGGAGGTAAAATGGAGGTCTGGCCAGTGCCTGGTAGCTGTCTTGCATGCAAAGATTGAGATATTTATTTTTAGCCCGATAATCAGCTTTGCCCATGCTGCCTCTTCCAAGCTCTGTGGGAAGGCATGTGACTCTGCATGGGCTTAGGGTGACCTGGAAATTGTCACTTTCTCCTCCCATTCAACAGCAAGTGGGAAAAAGAGGAGTGGGTCAGGTCTCTCTGAAAGGTTCAGCTTTGCTTTTCTCCCCCACGCTTTCCCCAGAAGTCTGTCCATCCCTACACAGACAGACACTTGCAGTAAGCCTGTGAGAGATTAGGAACCTCTGTTGAACGGATGTGCTCCTCAGGCTTGCATTTCATTTTCTACCCAAATATGTTAGCAATACTAGGATTTGAGGTTAATGCAACTTAAGTCCTTGCCCATGTGCTTTTTCTGCTGTTGCTTAATTTAGAAGCCATACCGACACTTCACAAAGGAAATCAATGCTCATTAATTATGATCTCACTTTTTAACTCTCCCATATTTGGTACTCTCTCAGAACCTCTACAGCAGCATGGAAACAAAAATACCATGTTCTGGTATTGGCCATACTACAGAGTATCCAGCATTATCTGCATGACATCCTGTTTATAATAAACCCTTCCTCTCTGCTTTGAATTACAAACACAAATTTGGTACTAATTTATTACATAAGAAACTAGATATGCTATTTTATACATATTTATAAATATTTCTAGGACATTCCTTATTTCTCCTTCCAAGATATCAATTCCTTTGACAAAATCCCACACCAAAGTCTTCCACTCTGTTCAATCTGGATGACTGCCTTAGCTTTGTTCCTCTATGCAGACTCCACAGTGACACTGCAGAGACTGCAGACCTCATGAGTGTCTTTGGAGAGTGGTTCCCCTTGAGTGCTGCAGCCCCTAGTGCCACTCCAAACATAGACTTGTCTGTCTTGGATGATCTAAAAGAATTGGGAGCTGTTAGCCTGTGACAGAGCAACAAATGTTAACAACTCCTTGTGCTCCCCATACAAGGACAGAGGGTTCAGAAACACAGGTTCCTGGTATCTCTGTTTCAGAAACTCAAGAAAGGACTGTTTCAGGGCTATCAATGAGAAGTTTCAGCACGAATGAGAAGTGAGAAGCCACTTTGGCCTGGCTGCTGGAGGACAAGGCTCAAGACAGAGCTAATGTGTGTTGCTAAGATTTAACCTGCAGTGCTCCACAGAGGCACCTGGGGCTGCGGGCAGAGGCGAGCTTTGCCCTTGTCACATCAGAGAAGCAGTGTAATGTCACTGAGAAGTTCACTGAGCTTGAGGAATTTCCCTGTAGTATGGCAAATATCTCCAACAGCCAGCCAGCAAATGATGAAGAGTTGATTCCAGAAATTTTGAATTTTTTCAAAGTTACAGGAAATGAACTGAAACAGAGGTTATAGAGTTGCTGGGTAGCCAATATAGTGATTTCTGTGTGTCTGCAGAGAGTTGTTTTAGTAACATTTTCCAAGAGTTTCTGACATCTTCTCCAGCTTTCTCTTTTCTCAATTTGTCTTTAAAAGCTGTGCACCGTTTCACTGTTGCTTTTATGGATTTCTATGTGTTGGGTGTTCTCCCTTTTTAATGCTCTTTTTCTATCAAGCATGTAAGGATTACTAAAGGAGTCCACGCCAGCTGAAGGAAGATTTGGCTGGATAGCATTGAACACAAATACTATATTCACTATGGTGAATAAAGCAATAGACTCACAAGCTTGATCCTGCAGTAAGATTGGGGAGCACCCATGTGAGATGCCACTGGAGTTGGTAGCAGATCTAATGATAAGCTCTTTCCAGTAAGACCCCTGAATGAACCCCATAATGCCATTGCTTTGGGAGCACTAAGAATGAGAAATGAGAGACAGGAGGCAGGAAAGCCAAGAAATCAGTTCCAGCTCTGCCATTGACTGCCTGTGGGTGATCTGAGAGAAGCTACTTAAATTCTCTGCACATGAAACAACTTCTGTCTGTTAAGTGGGAGCAACACCAGTCACTGAAAGTTGGTCCAAGATCTAATTCATTTGGAATTGGTGAATTATAAAATCTAGAGTCTCTAAGTAATAGTAACATTTCCCAGTGTTCTTGTCATGCTCTCCTCAGCTGTTATGTATTGAAACAAGCTGACATGTTAGTGATCTTGCTGTACCAACCTTGATTCCCTATTTAGTATTTCTTATTTTGTTCCTCTTCTTTTTGCTATGGTGCCTATGATGATCCTGCAGTTTTGGACCACTTGTCCGACTTGATAAATAGCTTTACTCTCTTTTACAGCCAACACCAGCAGAAAACCTATTGATTTTTATTTATTTTGATGGTGCTGCAGTAGTCTTGTCATCTCCTATCAGTATGCCAGGGATCCTTTCCTCCATTAACAAACCATTTAAACAAAACAGAATACAAAAATTAAAGAAGAGAGCACAGCTTAATGTAGCATTGTCCTAAATAACCTGTAGACTTTGTGTTGAGGCATTTCTTTCAAACAAAGGGAGACATAAAGCAGAACTTGTAATAACATGGCAGAACAGTGCAGAAAAATCCTCTAGAGTCACTCTCAGGTGTGTAGATCTTTCATATCCCACTAGGACATAAGATCTGACAGTCCAACCATTAAGGCTTCCTTTGCTGTTAGTCTGTGCACATTGGTCAAAGGCATTTTGGGAGTGTCTGGAAACTGCTGTCACTGCTGGACCAAGCAAGTGTGTTCACAAAAGGCAAAACAAATCACTGATGTAAAAACTGGTACGTGAAATGTGCATAAACTTGAGATACAGGCCAGTATCTTGTTGAGCTGCTCATTTTGTTAAGTTGTGCCCAGGAATAGCACAGCTGCACTCTCAAGTGATGGAAACAAATCCTCTCGCAAAACATCTTTCTGACACTCTGCTCTTTTTTCTGGTTTTATTCAGGGACTTGAAATCTGGAAGAGAAGCAATTCTTGTGTTAGGGATGTATTCTTTCCCCTTCTCCCTCCTTTCTGTTTCATAACATTTGTGGGACAAGAGGCCCAACATGACTTCTGCTTGCTGTCTGTGAACAGTAAAGTCTCCAATGTGTCTGCCTACAGTGAATATGATCCAGCCTTCTAGCTTTTAGTTTGGATGCTAATAATAAGGGGAATAATAATACCGATGAATACTGAGGGCCACATCTAACTAGAGGAATGTGACTCTGATGCCTTTGAATAGTGCAAAGATCCACGTGCACTGTGCATATGCAGAATCAGAAGCTAATTGTTGTTATGTGCCAAATAGCATATTGGCAGGATTTATACAGCAAAGCCCCTGGCATCATGAAAACCCTAACCCCAAATGCTCTTCTTTGGCAGAAAGAAAGAAATTTGGACTCTGGGCTACTCTTGCTATTAGATAACTGTCAGATCAAATATTTACAGGGACCATATTGTTTAGATTTTTCTTCATCCTGTTACTCTCAGCCAATCTGAACACAAAGCAGCTGGGGCTTATTTACCCACCAAGAACTGAATCTCAGGCAGGTTATGCAGGTTTTGTGTTCTGACTGGCAAATCAGAATGTATAGGAAGTAACTGATACCCAAGGCAGTGTAGATCAACATGTCAAGTTTCTATGCTTGGTATAGTTCCTCTCCCCTGACACTACTTTATTTTGTTTGACAATCGGACAAAGATTTTGAGGTGTTACGAGACTTGAGAATGTTTCAGTCTGTGGTCTTTGTAGTTTGCAATCTTGCACTAATTTATGTCCCCCAGGGGAATAAAAAACCCAAACCCAGCCTAGGATTCCAGAGTAGATATCCCCTGTAGCTTTCATATACAAATAATTGTCTTATTGACATGAATCTGTTATTATCATGCTAACAGTAAATCAAATCCATGTGACCCCCTCCCTGTTTTCCTGGTTAGATTCACTAATAAAAATACCTCATGGCTAGGAAAGAATTGCAACAGTATTTCTAAAGGCTGGTGGAATGTGCAAAGTGCAGAGGTGCTGTGGGATGCCCTGGCCAGACGTACGTGCCCCTGATGTCTCTGCCAGCTGTTGAAAAGTGATAGGAACCAGCTGGCTGGTTACAGATCTGGTGATGTGATGAAGAATAAGAGAGAAAATAAGGCAATAAAAGGAAAATCTGAAATGATCACCATCTGTTTCAGAAACATCATACCTGTTAAAAAACTGATTTTCATTTTGTTCTCCTTGGCTGGTTCAGTTCAATGGGGGGGCCTAGACCCAGAGGTTATGAAGTATTTCACCTTGGTTCAATCTGTTGAACAGAGATGTATTAATTTGGTTGAAGCTTCTTTTGAGAAGAATCATGCTGCAGGGGACCTTCTTTGGAAAGCCAAAAGGTGAAGAAGGTTGCCACATAACTGCAGTGTGCACCTCCCAAAAGTTAACAGCCGCTTTTACCAAACACTAATCTGGCACCAGAGTTGTCTTGTGAGACTGTGGCAAAGCCCAAATCCACATGGCTTTGCAATGTAATTTCTCTCATATAGGCATGGGACCTCGAGAGCAGCTAGACACATTCTTGAGTCAGACTTGTGCCTCTGGAAAACATATTGGATGCTCCCGCGCTGGCCTTTTGACTGCGTGTAGTCTTGCCCATGTGTTAAGATGGCAGAGTGCCTGTGCACAAAGTGTTATGCCAGTTTCACAGAGGTAGAAGTGCCAAGCAAAATGGACTTGGCTGGGCAGGCTGCATAGCTCTCAGAGTGTGCTGCGAGGCTGCAGTAAGTCTTTTTTTGTAACCAGAATGTCAGAGGAGTGGGATAAGTCTGTTCTCATGTTTGTTGATATCCGTATGCTGAAGGAGGTAGTTCAGGAAGGAAAGACAAGTTTCTGTGTGTACATTGCTGATGCTTGTACACATAGTTGTTGAGGCAAGACTCTGGTATTAAGTTGTAGGCTGCTCTTGGTAGTCTATATGGGAAAGAGCTTTAGGATATAATTCCTTTTGCTTCATGGCTGGATTGCTGCTACCCCCTTCCTCTGTCTCCCCATTTGGTGTAATCAGGAAAGTGTCTGATTCCTCATATGCAGGAAGCTAAAGAGACAGAAAGTGAGACTTTAATGAGGCCCTGATATTTGCCTGTGCTATGGTTTCCCTGAGAACCTAAAGAAGAGAGTGTTGCCCTGCTGGCTACAGCCAAGATGTGGTTCAGTCTACCTGGCCAGCATGTGTCAGTGACTGGAAAGAACCCTTAGATGAATAAATTCACATAAATGTCCATTTAATGGCATCACCACTTGAGAAAAACCTTTCCTCCTGTATCAATAGCAGTTTGCCCTCAGCAGCTTGTAGTGGTATCCAGAGTAATTTTCTAGTTACAGGTTAAGTCCCTCAAACTGAGAGATGGCAGGATAGAACTGATGCCAGTGCCTTTACAGGACTTTGGAAAGCATTATGCCTTCTGCCCTGGAGCATATGTAACCTAAATGCAATGCAGTGCAAATAAAGAACATGATAAATCATTGTTTGGGATGATTAAACAGCGAGGGGGACATTTTTGCCTGATAGGTCTCTGTGTATGTAGCCACAGTGGGGCAAGGACCATTGGTCAGGTAGGTGACACAGCATTTAGGCCCAGAGCTGAAGAAGGGTATGATATGTAGCCACAGTGGGGCAAGGACCATTGGTCAGGTAGGTGACACAGCCTCTTGCATTTAGGCCCAGAGCTGGAGAAGGACATCCCTGTCATGTGTAGGTTTATTTTGAGCAGAAAGTGCCAACATTTCATCTTAACTATGCATAAGTGCCTAGCAACATCTGCAAAGGAACCTGAGAGCTCTATCCCATATATCAGATAAAAATAATTAAAACTAAATTTTTTGGGGTGTTTTTTTCTTAACATTTTAATGCCTTTTCACAATTCAATATGTTCCTTTCCAGATGACACCACTGATAAACCAGACCTGTGACATCCTGCTGTGTAACTTGAAAGTCTATGCAGATTCTGGGAAAGGTTTTGATATCCAGAGGTATGTTCTACATGCCAAAAATTAGTAGCAGATTATTTTAAAAAGGGGGAAGAAAAGGTCAATAGCAGCAGTTATTCAAAATTCACACTTACTGTAGAAAAGATTTTTTTTTTCCTCCCTCACTTTAAAAAATGGAGATCATAGTTTAATGGAGGGTGTGTCTGATAAAAGCCTTTTCTTCCTGGGACAGCCATTGCATACTTGAAAAGTAATTTTGGTAAAGCATCTAATGTATTTCTGGCAGTTATTTAATAAAGTTTTAACAGCTGGAAGGACAAAGGAAGGCTGTATCAGTCCCTGTCCAGTCTGTTCTCTGCAGGCTGCCAATAATGTACAAATATAGGAATTGGTCTAGTATAAAATATATCTAGTCCATCACTCTTTTGCCTTTTTTTTTTTTAAATGAGGTTTTTTTGAGCACTTAATTATTCTTACCACATTCTTCATAACCCCCTCTCATTGCATGCTAGCTTTTGGGGAAGCAACAGGATCAGTACTCCAGATAAAAATGCACCATTGATTTATCAAATGACATTTTAATATTTTCTGTATTGTACTTTCTCTCATTTGTTATGCATTTAATATCCGATTATCTTTTCTGTTGCTCTTGCATCAGAGGCCTTCACTGAACTCTTCACCACACTGTCTAGTTCCTTCTCTGAGTAGATGCATTTTCTCTAAGATCCTGGGTAGTAGTTCAACTGCATTTTTTCTAACAGGCACTATTTTTGCTTCATTTTGCTTACACTTCATTTGCTGGGTTGGTCAGTGCCCTCTGAAGTTCTTAATGATTTTCCCAAACTGAAGCAGCACAAATAATATTGTTTCATCAAAAGAAATGGATATTTAGCCACAATTTATTTATCTTTTCTCAAGTACATGTGCACATGCAAGTATGTGTGTGTGTGTGCACAGAGATCTCTCTAATAAACAGCTGAAGAGATGCTGTGAAACCTTAAAATATATTATACTTAGCCTAGTGCTGTGATGAAAATTGACCTTTTCAGTCCTTCCAGTCTTTTCCATTTTTCCATTTGTCCTTTGTCTTTGAGTGGTCTTTTAGCTATTGATCCATTATTGGGTTTCACCTCTCAAGAGACACTTTGGAAAAGACCCTTTGAAAGTATAAATGAATGATGTTGACTGTCTCGGAACATGATATTTCCAGTTGTTTTACCATACTACCATTTCAGCAGGTTTGACGTATTTATAAATGTGATTCTCATTCCACTGCAGTTTTACAGAATTGCCTTGGGAGCTGTTTTTTTGGATTAAAAGACCTATCTGTAACCTCCTATGACCTTAGTTGTCTTTAGCTGTTTTGTGTTTTGCCAACAAATCAAAATTTAGTTTTTAAGGTTGTTTTATTTTTCAGTACCTTGGAGAGGTAGATGATTGAGTCCTTCTGAAATTATTGTTTTATAGCAATGTCCCCTCCTTTTAACATTTTAACTTTCTAATGCTTTTTATGTGTATGTATGTATAAGAGTTGAAGACAAAAATAAGTGAGTTTTGCATTATTGTCATTATCTTTCAAATCTTCTCTGGTGTGATCAGAGAAGATTGTCATTTAGAAATACTGATTCACATAATATATGCAGGATATAATGGGCCTGGCTCCTGTTCTTCCCTTCATACATGCTCACTCAGATTGAAACACCAGAGATTGATATTAGCCTTTTGTAAGCATGGAAGTATAGACATTGCTTACTTCACCACAGATTAGAAGACTCAAATTCCAAGAATATTTCACATTCTCAGTCCACCCATCTCAAAACTTAATAGAGCTGCTAAAGCCTACTAGGAAAATGAAGATGGTAAGACAACTGGATAGATGGTGAGATGTGCAGGGAGGCATTTAGTAAGTGCTGATGTTTCTAGATCATGGTCCACAGATCATTTGGAGTTCTCAAAGCACTGGCAGCTCCTCTGCACAGATACAGATTTCACATGGTGTCAGTTTCTCTTGGTTTTGTCCACAGAGTTACATTACAAAGGAGGTATGAAGAAGAAGAAGAAGGAAATCCTTAAGGATCTTAATTTTATCTGAGAACCTCTTGTCTCTGAGAGTTTAGACTGGACTGGAAATAAGTGTGGTTTTTGCAGTTAAAAATGAGAAAGGAATGATCGCATTTATTAAGGTGCATACTAAGAAAATGTTTATGCATCTCTGATGTGTTACATTTGATTTCTAGGTCATAACAAATTAAATTGTTTTTAATAAAATTTTAGTGGAACTACTGAGCTGTATGAAAATATGTTCACTTTGTAGGTGTGGAAAAAGTGATCATTACCAAGCATCACCATTTGTCAGAATGATGGAAACATCTCTTGTTGGCAAAGCTCAAATCTAAAAGCAAAAGGAAACTCAGTGGCAAAAATTAATGCTGTGTGATGTTCATAGAAGCAGGATATTAATGGATATTTGATTTGTAGATAATAATTGATCATTCTTCAATTAAATGCAGGTGTTACAACTGCTTTACCTTGGATGTCGTTGGTAGCGTAGCTTTTGGAACTGAGGTGGATTCTCAGAAGAATCCTGATGACCCCTTTGTTAAGAATTGCAGAACATTCTTTGAAATGTCTTTGTTTAAGCCTCTTCTCATTCTAATCCGTGAGTATAGTCTACATCTGCTTACTTTCTTGTGGTAATTTCATAAAAGTCATTCTAAAATTGCAAAATTGCTTCATGCTGAAGCCAGAGTAGGAAGTATTATAGCTGACACATTATTTCAGAGGGATTCAGAATGCAACCCACAGGCCACTTCTACCCTTGAAATTTCCACCATATGCTCTACAGGTCTTGTCACCATTAATGAAACTTACTCCAGAAACGGAGAGTCCAGGAACACTCCTGGTTCATCTGACAGGGTGAATGCTCCAGGTTCATCTGACAGAGAAGTTTCTGGGTCCTGAGTTTCTACAGTACTTGTTTTTATACACTTCTCACTGAAACAGAGTAATTGCCCTTTGGGACCCAAGTGTAAAGTTTTTGTGCACTTGATTTGTTTAGTAGAGATTGAAATCTCACCCATTAACAACCCACTGAAGAAAAGAGGTGGAAGAGTATAAACAGATTGTGTAAGTACTGCCAAGTCTTTTTTGAACACTGTCCACAGCCTGGTTGATGGCTCTGAAGGATAAAAATCACAAGTGTCCTGAAGAGAATGCATTTACTTTAGATTAATAGTTAGGCAATGCAAGAGTGGGGTATAAAACCATGTAGTTCTAGGGCATGAAAGCTTGGGCTTCATGGTGGTGATGATCTTGATAATTCAAGAGCACTAAGAATCACAGCTGAGAAAGCCACAGCATAATCAAGGTTTTTGAGGTTTTATCATCTTGGTATCTAGACCTGCACACAGTAATATCAGGTGGCACTGTGGCAAAGTTTCCTGTGCCCATCTGATCCTGCTGGCATTACAGATTGCACCTGTACTCTCAGCAAAACAACTGTTTCCTTCTGGAGTTGTGTATCCAAATTGCCCTGGGGTTAGTGTTTAACCTGATTGCAAAATGTGATTTGTCACCAATTTCTTAAGGGACAGAAAGGTGCCCCTATACATCTAAGAGCAGTGTGTCCTTCATCAAAGAAAAGTTTCTGTAGTGTTTGGAGTTGAATTCCTTGATTCATCTCTTTCTGCTCATTCATTAATGTGGTGAGAGTTTCCACAATGTAGTTGCCCTGTTGGCAGGACAGGTTTTTTCCAATGATTGATTTGTTAGTCTTAAGTTGTTCATAAGTTAATGAGGGGTTTATTAGAATGTAAGACTTCACTCAGTTTTTTAGGTTGTGACTATAAAAGTATGGACTGGAGAGCATCCTTTTGATAATATCCCACTTCCTGAGTCTGTGGCCTGTTTAGAGAAGCAAAATAAATAGAATCACACAATAGTCTGTGTTGGAAGAGACCTTAAAAATTCATCTAGTCCATTACCCTGTAATGAGCAGGGATGTCTTCAAGCAGGTCAGTTTGCTCAGAACCCCGTCCATCCTGACCTTGAACGTTCCCAGGGATGGGGCATCCACCACCTCTCTGGGCAACCTGTGCCCCTGTTTGACAAGCTTAATTGTAAATAACTTCTTCCTTATATCTAATCTGAATTTGCTCTCTTTTAGTTTTGTCCTGTTGCAAGAGGCCCTGCTAAAGAGCCCCATCCTTTGTATAGGTCCCTAAGGGATGGGGCCTGTAAACAGGAATGAAAACAGGAATGAAAAATACCCAATTTCACATGTTGGTGCCACGAGCTGCTAGGCCAGTTCAAGATCCCCCGCTTTCCCTATGTAATTGTCTGGACAGGTAGGGGAATAATGCTCCCCTTTATTGTAGTGGCTTTGTGACACCAAAAATCTGAACCACAGTCCTGAGGCATTGTGGAAACAAGCTTGGAAGGCATCTGTCTGGAAAGGGAATCCTGGCCAGCAGGACATCTCCAAAAGGGAATCCTCTTTTTCTTCCACCCTCACAGGTTGCTAAAGGGAGAGGAAGAGAGGAAAAATCAGTTTTCTTCAAAGGAACACATCCCACTTGATAAGTTTTATAATATTAAGGAAGAGTAAGTGGGACTATTATATATGCTCGCAGTCTGATTCAATGTTTTCTTCTTTAAAATCTCACAGTTTCTTTCCCATCCATAATGATCCCATTGCTACGCATTTTTCCCAACAAGAAACAAAAGGAACTTAATGAATTCTTTATCCAAACCGTAAAAAATGCAATTGTCTACAGACACCAGCAAGATGCAACTCAGGTAAGGCTATTTCAGTGATAAATGTATAGATAAGCAAATGTTTTCAGGAAAAACTGGAAGTGGCATAAGCCTCCGTTTGAAAAACGAACACAATCTCTCTGAACATTCAAAGTGTTTTAGTGAAGATTTGATTAATTTTTGGCTTTATGTACCATCAGGCAGAATTGTTAACACATTCCAAAATTGCTTCTCATAGTGTTTCTCTTCAAGTAAGGATGAAGAAAAGTTGCATCTAGGATGACTGCTCAGCCCAGTTTCTAGACCCAGAAGGAAGGATTCAGACTGTGGAATTTTTTCTTGTCCTAAAGTCATGTGTCATGTCTACACTACTTTTCCTCAACGAGGGAAAAAAAGCCCCCACTGAGTGTTTCAACCCAGTTTCTCCCTAAGAATTGAAGCAGGTTTCACAGAGCCCTGTGCCAGTTCCTGCTGCTTTGGGACATGGGAAGAATCTGGATGTCTGGTTAGAGCAGTCACTTGAGCTGAGATGGCTAAAAAGAGAGGTAGTAAATGACTCCTGAAGTGTGCAAACAAATGGCTGCCCATTGTTAGCAAATCATTTGTTACCTCTTCTTTTGGACATAAGGCACTCTGAGAAGTTTTTTTTTGTGTTTTTTTTTAGTCACTCTTGTTTTATGAATGTCTCTCCCTAAGAACTGAAGCAGGTTTCACAGAGCCCTGTGCCAGTTCCTGCTGCTTTGGGACATGGGAAGAATCTGGATGTCTGGTTAGAGCAGTCACTTGAGCTGAGATGGCTAAAAAGAGAGGTAGTAAATAACTCCTGAAGTGTGCAAACAAATGGCTGCCCATTGTTAGCAAATCATTTGTTATCTTTTTTTGGACATAAGGCACTCAGAGGAGGTTTTTTGTTTTTAGTCACTCTTGTTTTATGAAGTATGTGAAGGCACATACACTTTAATGAAAGTCTCTCTATTTTTGATATATGAAGCATTTGGAACGTAGACCTGTGCTTTGGTTCTATGATACAAGAGTTTGTTTTGAACAAAAGAAGAACAAGCATGGAAGGAAATAAAATCGCAAGATTTCTTCTAATTTCATTTATTTTTCCTTGATTTTCCTTTTTTTCCATTAAGTTTCAATTTAATTTCATTCCTTGACTTGTCATTTAATTCCTTTCATGAAATGAAATCCCAAGATTTCTTCTAATTTCATTTATTTTTCCTTGATTTTCCTTTTTTTCCATTAAGTTTCAATTTAATTTCATTCCTTGACTTGTCATTTAATTCCTTTCATGAAATGAAATCCCAAGATTTCTTCTAATTTCATTTATTTTTCCTTGATTTTCCTTTTTTTCCATTAAGTTTCAATTTAATTTCATTCCTTGACTTGTCATTTAATTCCTTTCATGAAATGAAATCCCAAGATTTCATTTAATTTAATTTTGTTGCATTTCATATAATTTCATTTTTTAATTTCATTTTTTTCATTTCATTTCATTCTTTGATTTGGCATGTCATTTCCTTTCATGAAATGAAAGCTCATTTTGTGAAAGGAAAGGAAATCTCAAGATTTCATCTAATTCCATTTTGGTATGTTTCCTTTAACTTCTTTAAATTTAACTTCATTTCTAATCAATTAATTCCATTGAATTTAATTTAATTTCATTCCTTGACTTTTCATTTCATTTGCATTCATGACATGAAATCCCAAGATTTCTTTTAATTTCTTTGTTTCATTTAATTTATTTTCCTTTTTTATTTTGTATTTTATAAAATTTCATTTCCCTTTCTCCCATGTTTTGTTTAATCTATTTTTATTATTTGATTTTTCATTTTATTTCATAAAATGAATTTTCACTTCATGAAAGGATATGAAATCTCAAGATTTCATTTCTTTAGGTTCAAAGAAGTTTCTTTTCATATTTTTTCATTTAACTTTTTGTATTCCACTTAATTTCTTTTTATTGCCTGAAATTTCATTTAATTTCTCTTCCTGGAGGAATAGGGATGTGTAGTGAGAAAAAAAGAATATCAGTGAAAATTCCATTTTTGAGGTAACTGAAACAAATTTTTGCATAACAATTGGCATGAAACTCACAACATCCACATGAAGGAAGCTGTTAATATTGAGGTGTAAGAGATGTTTCTTGCCTCTCTGAGATGAAGAGCAATGCTGATGGAGTAACAGCACAGGTGAGAATGGATCCTCCCAACTTATTCTCACAGCTCCACCCCACAGCTGCCACTTTTCAGGATAAAATGGATTTTGGTTTACCCTACATTACTTCCAGAACACATTTAAAAAATGAAATTTATATTCAAATATATTGCTGCCCTTTGACTTTTTCTGCAGTGATGTCTCACGTCTACATTTGTTGCAGTTTATCACTACATGCTGCTTGGTGCTCCTTCAGCCCGCCTTTGTCAGTCTTTGTTTTTCTTTTCATCCGAAGGATGGTAAGCACCACTGACTGGCCACAAACAACTGGTGATTCATAAACATGGTTCCTGGCCCAGGCTGAGTGCTGCAGGAACATCTTCTGGCAGTGGTGATGGGAATAAGCTGCTTGCAGGCACCTCATTTCCACTGCATAGGTGCAGTGTGAACTTTTGATGGCCTACAGGTGTGGCTGTAGGTATGGACAGTTTTAAATCAAAGATTCATGCCAACAGGGTCTGCATGGGAAGTCTGTTCTGTGTGTGAATTATGAAAGGATAAAAGGGACCATGAAACAACCTAATGTGGATTAAAAGTGGTTGCTGTATTAACTGCTATTAATGAAATGCAGTGTGTTTCTGTGGCCGCAGCACTGAGGGGGTGGATCACAGGCTAAACCCTTTGCTCTGCTAGAGCTGGTCACTCCCTCAGTCAAGGGACAGCACAGAAAAAACCAAGATTGTAGTGACAAGATCAGGAGGCAGAAACCTGCATAATACAGCCTTTTTGCAGGCTACAGTGGTTGATGGACCAGAGGCTTAAGGTTCTGTTGGAAGTGCTATTGGGAGATGCTGTAAGAGACAACACATGGCAGTAGCTGCCCAACACCAGGACAGTGTGGGGGAAAGTGCAAGGTCTGTGTTTGCCTTAGCAGTGTGTGCACAATTCCATGGCTGCCTGCAGACCTCTCTGCTCCTGGATTCTGCTTAGTTTGCAAAATTGGCATATGGGAGCTATTTCAAGTGCTAGGAGTTAGGCTATTAGGGACAGATTTCTTAATGAAAATTAAATCTCCTTTGTGGTTCAGGATCATTATTGTTCAAAAGTGACTGTAAAGTTCGGGGCTTTCTTTTTTTCCCTTTTCACTGCCTGTCTTGTTACATGCTTTTAGAATTTTGAATGTTTTTTATGTTGGTGTCACATGAGTCTTGTTACAAATATAGGCAACTAACATTTGCCAGAGACATAAAAATGGTGTGTAAAACAGAACAAAATGCAGCTTTTTTTCAATTTAATGCAGAAATTAAATCTGTAGAGATGAGGTGTCCCAGATAGCCCTGCATGTGAATGAGAATTATGTCCTCTGTCCTAGGTCTCAAATGATGAAATGTACCCACTGAAACCAGCTGGAGTTTTGGCACTGAATTTTAATAAGGCCAAGATATAACTAGCAGCCACTGGTTCTTTGTGCCAATAATGAGAACTATAAGCAAAGTCTTCTGGTCTCCCTGAGGTGCATTAGGCCAATGGGTATTCCTTAGTTTGCCACATTCCTAGATGTTACATTGTGTGCATCTTTTACTCCCCATTGATTTTATCACCATTAAAAATGCTTTGGGGTTCTTTTCTTGAGGGGAGGGGTTAGAAAGGATAAAAAAAGCCTTTGAAACAAACTGTAAAACAATGATAAGCTCCACGACACTGATTTAGCTGAAACTTGTCTTCCTCTCATCTACAGCTAATGTGAACAAAGAATAAAGGAAGGCCAAAAAACAATGTGACAAGCAAAGTCAGCCTGTTATCATCCCTGTTCTATCAGTAAATGAAACAATGCTTCTGAATGCCTAAAGATAATCCCTTGGGTAGATAGTAATTTTACAGCCAGGTTTAGATCTAATAATACGCTTGCAGCTTATATGAGATCTGTGATGTCACTTTCTCTCATCCCCCCGGTTTGTGGTGCAGATGTAATTTTAATTATATATTATCTTTCTGTGGTCACTCGAATAATTCTAGTCCTGGATATTCCACTCATTTGGCTTATATACAAAAACATTTTAATGCCTGTACTTTAGAAATTTTAATACATTACATTTATTCATGGATTCAAATTATTGTAAAAGGCTTTTCCCACTATTTACAGAAGAGCAAATTTACCCAGCTCAGAAGAAACAGCACAAATTTAATGCACCACTTAACACCTACTTTAAAGGATCCAGCAAGGTTTAAATGTTCAAATACCTTACCCTGATTATCTGCCCAGGGTAAAATTTTTCCCTGAGGCAAAATATTTCCAAAGACAGGGCAGATAGACTATGTGTTTACTTCAATAAATAATACTTTGATAGATTTTAATTTAATAATCTGATATGTAAATTGTTTTTGTGTTAGAGCTGTTTTGATATCCCATTGTAGCTCAGTTCTTTACAAACTGGTTTCTTTTAAATTATGATGTCTAGATGAAGGAGCCTTTCATAGTGCTCAAAACTGAGACTCCTTCAACAACTGTGGGCTGAAACTAAGCCCCCTGTCAGCAGGTGAAAGTCCAGAGCTTCATTTATAATCCATAGTAATAACAACTGCACTGTAACAATTTAAGGTTATTGATTATTTTTGGAAAATCACAACAGACCTGTGAGAAAATCCACAATTGAAAATACGCATCCTTTAGCAAGGAGAATTTTCCTGATTTTTCCAGTCATACTGTCCGCTGTGAATGTGTAATCCGAGGTCACATAATCCATGCCAGGCCAGTAGTGATCTGATGATGTTTCTGATGGCCATCAGCTGCTTCTTGGTGTTCTCAAGACAATTTGGAATGACAGGGTGACAAAGCACAGGGGAGTATCACCAGAACTATTCACTGGCATCTCATTTTGCTG